GCAGGAGATGCCGTGGCATGGAGATCTGCTGGGGGGTTGTCCCTGATGGGGAGTCTGTCTGTTGACACAGCTCGGGAGCATTGCTCCTGCCAAAACTGCCGCTCCTGAGCTCCCAGATGGGGAGGCAAAGGCAGCAGGGACCCACGGCGGAGGGATGTGGGCCTTGGTAAAGAAATTAATCCGCTTTTGAGCTGCCGCTCCTCTGCAGGAGTCTGCCTACTTCAGCTTCCCTTCACGTTTCTAATGAAAAGCTGAACTTCCCTTCCCATTCCCTTCCCTTCCCCAGCCCGGGGAGAGGCTGGAAGCGCAGCCAGGGCCGCGGGGTAAGTGCTTTCCCAGGCAGCAGGGCTTCCCCTCCTCGTGCTCCTCTGCAGGGAGAAGCAGGAGGGAGTACGCTGCCTGGCGCAGTTGTTCAGGGGCCAGCACTGGCAACCGTCCCTGGAAAGCCCTGCTTCTGTTGGGTTTGCAGTGGGGCAGAGCCAGGAGCAGCTCCTGCACTGGTTAGCTCGCGGTGGGAGTGGGCTGAAGGAGGGCTTCCAGCAGCAGCCATGGCTTGTGCTGCTCCAAAGCACGTGCATTGGAGGAGGCTTGTCTGGGGGCTGCAGAAAGCACCTCCCCAGCTGCCCCAGCTCACACGAACGGGAAGGCGTGTGCTCGTGGGGGTAGTCGTGCTGTCCTGCTCCGCGGAGGAGGGAGGCAGTAAGGGGGAACTTCAGCTCCCCTTGGTCTGCTACGTGCCTCGGTTTCCCCTTCTGCAGAGCAGATAGTGCTTCAGGGCTTTGTCTGAAGCGGGGGGCTGTTACCCGAACGAGAGGTGCACTTCAGTGCCTTAAACTCCTCTTGCCTTTCAAGGGACTAAGAGACACGGGTTCCACCCCACCCACCCGACTCTGACATGTTACCAGCTGAAATAAATAAAATACCACGGGTAAAGCCCTCCTGAGTGCCGTGCAGCTCCCCACGTCCTGATGCGGGTCCTCGTGCAATTACAGACATGTTGCTGCCTCTGTAAGTGGCTGAAACTGACTGAAACGCCCCTGACAGTTGACTCTCTGTGGGACACCATAAGATGACTAAGTATAAGCTTGTGCCAAATGAGATATTAAACTGACTAAAGCAGAGAAAAATACAGTTCATTTGTAATAATCTTGGGCGTGAAAGTCAGTGATAGCAAGTAAGTTACTTGGAGACAGAAATATGAGTTATTTTTGTTGTAACATTGGCTGCATCCCTTCTTTTTCATGCCAGGAGTATACAGAGTTGCTGGCAGTGCCAAGCAATGGTGCCGGTCCCATAGGCTGTGCTGGCAGTGCTGAAGCCCGCCCGTGGCCTGGCCCTGGCCAGGGAGGGAGAGGGGCTAGGACGTTAGCCTTCCTCCCCAGGGCTGGGGTGGCCGGCCGGCATCTTTGCCTGCGGCACAGTTCCTCAGCGCTCCGTAGGCCAGCACGGCTCCAGGGCTGCCTCGCTTGCCCCCGAAAGCTGAGCTCGGCACTCCTCGCTGGCCCCTGCGGAATCTGCAAGGTCCGCCTTGCTCAGAGCATGCCGGGCTGGCATCCATCCGTCTGTCCCCTCAGGCTGGCGTCTGTCCCCTCGGGCTGGCCAGGGCTCGGCGTGGGCACCGGGGATCCGGAGATGGCAGCAGCTTGTTTGTGTCCTGTCGCAGCCCTGTGCTGTGGTGGCCAGCGCTGGCATTGCGGACAAGACTTGCTGCAGGCTGCGTGCTCAAGGCCACAAACAAGGATGTCAGAAGTAGGTGACTGTAGCATCATAGTTGTAAGAATGGCTTCTTTACAGCATTTTCTTTCTGTGGCTCAATACGTTGGGTTTTTTGGAATCTCTCCTGCTTGTTGCGTTTTGCTATGTGTGTGGTAAGGCAGAACCATCTATTTCCCCCTGGTCTTTGATCTTCTCTCACAATTATGTATCAAATGGAGTTTGAGAAATGTCAAGTTGAGGCTCTTTTTATTAACGTACGAGTGCTGCAGTGGTGTAAACTGTCCTTTGAAGCTGGAAGAGCTTTGAGTTCTCATGCAAATGTTGCATACGTGGTTTTGAACTTGATTTCTGTACTGCATAAAGACTTGCAGATTGCTTCTGACTTTGCATGTCAGTTAACCAGCCTCCCCAGGCAGTGCAAGTGTTTTATCCTGGAAGGGTAACATTATAAAGGAATGCGTAGAGGTGTCTATGCCTGCGAAGCACGCAGCAGTCTGTGACAAAAGGGACTGGGTGGGCTTTTCCCCTAGAATGGGTGAGAAAGGGGGACCCAGGGAAGGTCCCACCGTCATCCTCTTCCCCGCAGGTCCGGCACCGTGGCGCTGTGTGTGGGAACTCGCTTGCTGGCCTGGGGGACTCTGCGGTCCTCAGCATGGCAGACCTGTTCTCAACAAGTTTCTGTGCTGTTGTTGGAGGCGGTGCTTGAGGGTTTAGTGCTTTGGAGTGTAGAAAGCAGAGTGTCAACAGAACGCGGTATTTTAATGAGATTAAAGCAGCCTTGGAGTGGCCTGTCTGCCCGGTTCCTGCAGAAACCCCGTGTGCTGGTTCATGTGAAGTCTGTAGAGACAAAGGCTTGAATCTGTTACTACAGTGTGTTAGAGCCAGATATTAGTTTTTGTCTATGTCCGAACAAACCTAAAGCTCCTCTGGAAAAGGGGGAAGAGGCATGAATCTGTCCCACATGTGCCCTTCTGCTGGCGCAGGAAAGGCTGCAGCTCTCCAGGCAAACATTAGCTCTGCACTCCTGGCAGGGCTTGGCATCGAGGCGCCTGCATTAAAAATATCCTGTCCCACAAAGACCGCTTAGTTGTGAGCCAGCATATGGCACATTAATGAAGATGTGCACAGAAATCGTCCGTGTGGATGCACAGAGGCCTTCTGTCTCATGGAAACTGCCCAGTATACCCCGGGGGAATCTGGAGTCCAAACAAGACTCGTATAAGCAGTTTCTCTGATGCTGCTGGCTAGGCGAGTGTGAAGAGGCTGCTCATGAGCCCACAGTCAGTAATGCAGCTGCTGCTGACTTCTTAAAAATTGGTCTGTCCTCTTCTTTCTCCTCCGGTTGTATCCTTGCACTCTCCTGATGCTGTGCCCCAGCAACAGTCAGTACCTGAGCCTTGACTTGAACAGATGCAGGATCAGACCCTGTACCAGTAGGCATGGCTCTCAAAACAGAGTTGGCCCTGGCTGGGTATAATCAGCTGAATAAGGTCTTGGTGGTCTCGTTAGCTTGGCTGGTCTGCTGTCCCTGCATTTGGATATGACATTCATTGTTACACCAGCGTGAGGGTGCATTAACAGGAAAAAATAAAAGTGGCTTCTTGGCTGTTTTCTCAGTAGCTTGCTTGGCTGCAGAGCACTACGGGGAACCTGAGCCCGGAGCTGCAGACAGAGCAAGCGACTGGATGCTCCTGCCCGGAGTGGGGCCGAGTTCAGCCGGGTATCAGCCCCGCTGCCTCCTCACTCACCTTCCAAATGAAGGAGGTTGGGGAAAGCATCGCAGAGAAAAAACACAGACGCAGATCTGTTGCTTGTTCCCTGACGCTTCCCCACTGAAGCATCACTGAAGTCTTTTGTTTCACTGTGGACCTGGTTTCCCACCCGCGCTGGTGGCACTGGGAGGAGCTGCCTTGGGCTGACTCTCCAGAAGGGGACAGCTCACTGCTGCAGGGACACCTTCCCCCTTCCTGCCGGAGCACATTACACCATAGCAGCTAGTGTTAAGCTGTTTCTGGACTTTAGCAGGGGAAAAATGACTTGCTGGAAAATATATCACTCCCCTCTGGCAATAATGTATTCTCCTTGTACTTGTTCGCTCCTTGCTGGTCTTCTCCGTCCTCACTGGGGGTTTCATCCAGTAAGGGTTCCAGTTACTGCTGATAACTTTTAAAATTTTCTCCTAACTTGCCAGCTCTAGTTGTCTGAAGAGACATCAGACCTATATCCAGCTTAAAACCAATCAATTGCTTTAGGGTGATGTTGTGTGGACCTAGACACCTCCCAGACCTAAACCAATTACACTCAGTAAGTTAAAGACATCGAGGACATGCTAATTTAGCTGGGAACCAGGATCCTCTGCAAAAGAGAAGCATGCAGTAATAGAATGAAAATGTCTTCTTAAGGATTTGGAGACCTATGTGCTCCTGAGTATCACTGTGCTACAGCGCTGCGGGCTGTGGTTTGCACCATCTTATGACAAAGGTGATAGTAGGAACACCTGGAAGCTGTTCACACAGAGACCTTGGGAGGCCTCGAGTAGATAAACTGTATGAGTGTGTGTATATCTGTATGTGGGAGAGACCACAGTATTCTGCAGTACTGGTAACACACAATACCATTTACAGAAGTGATACTGGAAGTATTCTGGCATCATTGACCTAAGAGGATGTGCATAACAATATCCACCAAATGTGATTCCTTCCACTGAAAAAAAAATCACATCACCTTTTTTTCCTCTATGGGCCTGTGTCTCTGCCTTTGAGTGGAGTGGGAGTTCAAATTCCCCGTCCCCTGCAGCAGCTCCGAAGCGATGCTCAGCTTGCAAAAAGAGTTTCTGTGTCTGTCCGTAAACGCGGTGGACTTCAGCTCACGTGCTGCTGGCGCCGCTCTCCCCGGCGAGCATCCGCGCTCTGTGGGCGTCCTCAGGACAGATAGGAAGAGGGGAGTCTCTTTGCAGCTGGCAGACGATGAGGCAGCTCGTTTTTGTGGGCTGTAGGCACTGTGCACAGAATCTAGGGCCCCAAGTTGGTGCAAATCTAAACCAGACGTGCTTTAACCAGAAACTAAAAAGCAATAGCACAAAAAAAAAAAGAACAAAAAACCCTTCCAAAAAGCCAACCCTCCCCCAAACTGCCAAAACCATATCTTCAGCTGCAGGCAGGAAAGACCTGGGAGCATGCACAGTATCTGCCTACCCCAGTTGCGAGGCATATCTTACCCCTTGTTTTGGGGCTCGTTGATGTGTGTTTGTTAGATTTTGCTCCAGGCTGGACCAACTTGCTCACCCTGCACATCGGCGCCGTTGTGTTTGCTTTGCCATGCGGCTGACACGCCGGGCTCGGCGGCAGGGTGGCATGGCTGCACGGTGGTGGCTCCCGCGCGAGCTGCATAGTGCCGGACTCCGGCCTCGCTCCCCTCCCTGGCCCTGCCGGCCCTCGGAGCCAGGTCTGCCCCCCCAGCTGGGTTGGTGGGGACCCCAGCCTCCTCCCCGGGAACTGCTGGCTTCTGCTGATTACAGCTGCTGATTACAGCTGCTCCGTCCTTGTCGCCCTCAGGAGGAGTGCCCAGGGCTTGGTTTGCTGATAGGAAGCCCAGGGCAGGAATATCGGCTGGGGTCGCTTCCTGCCCCTCCCCAGGCCCTGCTGTGGCAGCACCACGTGCCAGCCCTCTCGCTGCCAGCGTAGGGGCTGGTGGATGGGCTGTGGACCAGCCCTGGTCCAGCTTAAAACGAATCACTGTGCAATATTTTGTGATGGCTTTTTCCAGCCCCATCAGTGCCCTGATACGCTCCCCGAGAACTCGCCTGCATATGTCGGCACAAAGGGCCAGGGCAAGAGGTGAAGTCGTTTTCATGTGTTTGAGTATATTTTTTCTTCTGCCACGCATGAGACATGCAGAGAGCTTTTCATCCATCCTCTGTTGCCTTCCCTGGCTCCTTCCCTGGGAGGATGTGGGTGTTATCCATGTTTTGTAATGTGTCCGACAGCCCACGGGCTCACAGCAGCGCTGCTGCTGACCAAAGAGTTTCCTCTTGAGTCACCATGCGAAGACTCAGCTTTTCTGGCTTTTTTCTTGAGAAATTTTTGGAATATTTTATTTATTAATTCTCTTGGTAGCACACTGGTAACTACAGATGTGGTGTCCACGTTCGTCCTTAAGCTTTTCATGGGTGGCTTCTGCCCTGCTGTGTGCCAGCCTGCCTTCGTGGAGCGGCAACGGCAGCCCCAGTCGTTCCGCAGCCAGAAACCTCCCCGTGGCACGGTGCTGGCCGTGCTGCACCTCAGCCCTGTGCCGTGTTGTACCTGCCTATAGAACATGGCTCTAGCACTGATCTCTGGCTGCCCGGCTGTGGATCCGATCTGCAAGGAGGAGCTGAAGTGCCAAGATGGCCCGTTCCCCAAGGGGGAAAGGGGCAAGAGCATGCTGTGATGCCGGGCTGCAGCGCCCCGTGCTGCTGAAGCGGTACCTTCGCTGCCGGGAGCGCTGCACCTCAGCACTGGCTTTCAGAAGTACAGTTTCTGTGCAGTTTGATGAACTGTGAGGTTTATGGAAAAAAAGGACAAACTTCGTTCCTGTGAACAAGCAGTGCTATTTTACAGATGTTGAAACGCCAAAATGAAAGTTCCTTTGAAACTGCTGGTGAAATTCTGCAGGCAGCAGTTATTTTTCTTACTAAGCATTAAACAAATGTTTCAAATTGTGTAAACCTTCTATTTGAGTTTCTGATACGTATGAACAAAAAAGCTTTTGGAAACTTCTCATTTTTGTTTTGGTGATGGTGGGCTTTTCCACATTGGCTTTTGTTTTGCCTTGCAGACTCCTCACCGCTGTCAGCTGAGCTTCTCCTTTGGGAGCGGTGATCCCCTAGGTCGTGCTGGCTTTTCCTTTCTGGGGCACGTTCAAACACTGCCTTTGCGGCTGGTGTCCTTTTTTGTCACCGAATTCTCCATGCAGGTGAATGTGCAGTCACGAGTTGTTCAAATGACGATAAGAGCAGCTGAATAGCCTGAGATAAAGTTTATAAATATAAGTAAACCCCAGAATTCAGGTTGCTCTCTGCAGTCTGTTCTCTCTCCTTTTTTTTTATCCTGTTCCTCCAGCCAAGACTGATTATGAAGTGCTGACGCTAGATATTTTTAAAACAAGAGTAATTTTATTAATCTTACTAAACCTTGTAGCTGTGAAAATGGAGATCGAGGGACATGACCTGTTCCTGTGCCATCAAATGATGAACTGGGGACCTGCAGGGTGTTGGGGGACCCTCTGTGGCAGAGGCACAGAGGCAGACCCCCAAGTCCTCGTGGGATGTGGGGCTTGCAGAGGTGCACAGAGGTGGGGTAGCTCTCAGCGAAGCCCACCTAACAGTGCTCCGCAGGGCGGGTGGGTCCAGGCCGTCCCGGTGCTGGTCGGGTTGAAGGTGCCTGAGGGCTCCCAGGTGGTGCTGGCTGGCATGGGACGGGCCGTGTCCATGCTGGCGGCGGCTCCTGGCCCTGGAGCAGGAGGGATGCACATTCTTCCCCACGCTGAACCACTTCGGATCGCTCGTAAGCTGCTCGCGAGTCTTCCCCTTGCGCCGTGTGTGACTCATCCAGCCTCCTGCCTGGCCTCCTCTGTGCCCTTATCGAAGGAAACTCTGAAATCATCGTGTGCCGGGGGAGTGAGCTGCTGGCTCCGCTCGCCCGTTGAAGCCGCCTGCAAAAGCGCTTGGTTTTCACTTGCCTTGCCCTTGCCTGGGAAGGGTGGCTGCTGGAAAGCTGAAATGAGATGCATCTGATGGCTCTGCAGATCATAAGATATCTCTGTGGGGATTGCTAATGCTCTGCCCCGGATAAGAGTCTGTTGTTTTCGTGTTTGTTTTCCCTGTGTTCGTACTGCTTGTACAGCAGGGAGCCGCGGCTCTTGGAGCACACCCTCTCTTGCCGCTTACGCCAAAGCAGCCGTGCCAAAAGCTTGCTCGGCTGCTCTTGGAGCCGGGGAGCTCCAGGCGGCCTGAAGCGCTGCAAGGATTTGTGCAGCTCTGCCCTGTCCTTACTGACCAGCCGCTTTGCACGAGATTCTCCTGATGCCCCCGGGAGGTGGGCTGCTCAGCCCCTCCTCGACAGCTCGCCTCTCCCAAGGGAGGAGAAAATTCATTTCTTTTCCGTGCGTCAGCTGTTTTTTTTTTTTAATTTTTCAATAGTCTGTCCTTTACTCAACATCCCTAAGCCCTGTTCCCAGGGTTGGGGAAGGCTGTTAGAAAAGGCGACTGGCCTCCATGGGATGGTGATATAAATAGGTACGTAAATAGGTGCAGCAGACAGAGCCGCCTGCTATAGCCTCACCCTACTTCCATCTGGCAGCCTGCTTGAATTACAGCCCCGGTCTGCGCAGTGACGCCCAGCTACCGCAGCCACGGCTCACCTGGCAGCGCTGTCCCTGCACCCGTCGGCAGCCTCGGCGCGCTCCGCTGCC